GGAAAAAAGTACCCACAAGGAACTCCTTGTGAGGATTTCAGACAATTCCATTGAAAAGTGTGACTAAAATCATATATATACCGAATATCGGGGGGTACCGTTATATGGGGGCTATACGATATCTTCGAACTTGACCTGCCTGCAGAGAGTTCTGTGCAAAATTTTAGCTTCCTATCTTAATTCGTTTTGACTGTAGAGTGATTACAACAGACGGACAGATGAACGGACGGAAAGGGCTAGATTGTCTTGGAATTTTACGTTAATCAAGAATTACAAACGGAATGACAAACTTAATATACCCTCCATAGAATGTATGGTGGAGGGTATGAAAAACATAAATTACTATATAACGGACCACCAACCTGGATCGAGTTGACTTGTTGAATGTAATTAAAAATGTCATTTATTGGTACCAAAAAATTGGGTCAAAGAATTCAAATTAAAAAATTACATATAAAACAATGTTGTTTTCCTCTTTGAAACATAGTCGAGTTGTGTACTATCCGCTATAATTATGCTTCCAACATTTGTCTATTCATTTTTGATGCGTATACGTGTGCATAACGTATTCGCCCGTCTTCAAGTTTGCAACAATAACCTCACAAAATACAAATATATCCGAATTTGTTCAATCTCATTGAAAATTTAATTATTTCCTTTTAACTCAATCAAAATGAAAGTAAAAAAAACATAAACATAAATTACGAAATAACGGACCATCAACATGGATCTAGTTCACTTGTTAAATTTCATGAAAAGGACATTAATTGGTACAAAAAAATTGGGTCAAAAAATCCAATTCCTCTTTGAAATGGAGTCGATTTTTGTGCTCTCCATAATAATTATGATTTCAATATTTATACATTCACTAGCTGAACCCGGTGCGCTTCGCTACCCCTTTTGATTTTATATGCATTCAAAATTTTATTTACGAATATATGTTGGTTAAAAAAAAAACAAATTTAAAAATTAAAAAAAAAATATTGCACTACTTTAATGCGTAAATAACCAAAACCAATAGAATAGCAGTAACATGACATACATACACGAAGGGTTTGTCCTTCGGATTTATTTATTTCATAGCAAATACCAAGCATGCAGTAAACTGCAATCTTTTGAAGTTGAGTGGCATTTCTATTGCAATTAGTGAATTCGAGATAGCAACATACTTCGCCGTAATAAACGGATTTCAAATCTGTTGTTGTGTTGTTTTTTAGTGTTAGCCTAAGGCGTTGTGGGTCAATGGTTCTTATTAAAATCATATCCCAATCTGATCCGATTTAAATATAATTAAAAAAAATACATTTACACCAAACTCCGCCACACCTTTCATATTTCATTGAAGTTGGTGCGTCAAATATGTGAAATCGGCCGATAATATATATATGGGAGCTATATCCAAATCTTAACTAATTTCCAATTAATTTGTCACATTTATTATTGTAACCAAATTCCGCCACACATTCTGAATTTCATTGGTATCGGTCATATATATCATGTTTGGTGCATAACATATATGAAATCGGCCGAAATATATATGTTAGCTATATCCAAGCCTCAACTGATTTCAATATAATTTGGCAATTTTTTCTGGTGCCAGATTTTGTCTCTCTCGCTTTGGGTGCATCAAATATGTGAAATCGGCTGAGAATATATATGGGAGCTATAATCAAATCTGAGCGTATTTGAATATAATCTGTCACATTTATTTTTGTACCAAATTCAGCCACTCATGCCGAATTTCATTGGAATCGGAAATACGTATCGTGTTTTGTGCATCAAATATGTGAAATCGGCGGAAAATATATATGGGAGCTATATCCAAATCTGAACCGATTTTAATATAATTTGACTAATTTATTTTCTAATCAAAATCCCGTTACATATTCCAAATTTCTTTGGAATCGAACATACATATCGTGTATGGTGCATTAAATACATGAAATCGGTCGAAAATATATATGGGAGCTATATCCAAATCTGAACCGATTTCAATATAATTTGACAAATTTATTTTCGGATTAAATCCCGTCACACATTCCAAATTTCAGTGGAATCGTACATTCATTTTGTCATTGAAATTAGAGATACATAGCGTGTTTGGTGCATCAAATACATGAAATCGGTCGAAAATATATATGGGAGCTATATCCAAATCTGAACCGATTTCAATTTAATTTGACAAATTCATTTTGGCTCCCAATTCCGTTACTTATTTTAAATTTCATTAAAATTGAAAATACATATCGTGCTTGGTCCACCAAATACATGAAATCGGCCGAAAATGTATATGGGAGCTATATCCAAATCTGAACCGATTTCAATATAATTTGGGAAATCAATTTTTTAAATAAAATCTATCACACATTTCAAACTTCCTTGAAATTGGGGATACATAGCGTGTTTGGTGCATCAAATGCTTGAAATCGGCCGAAAATATATATGGGAGCTATATCCAAATCTGAACCGATTTCAATATAATTGGACAAATTTATTTTCGGATTAAATCCCGTCACACATTCCAAATTTCATTGGAATGTAACGTTCATATTGTGTTTGAGGCATCAAATAAAGGAAATCGGTCGAAAATATATATGGGAGCTATATCCAAATCTGAACCGATTACAATATAATTTGGCAAACTTATTTTTGTTCCAAATTCCGTTACGTATTCCAAATTTGAAGACTGTATCTTCAACCAATCAATAGATATGTGCATATAAAATCTAAACTTTTGGGAGGTACCTCCGATTCTGATGCTATATCTCCAGTTCCAAGTGGAAATTCAAAAATGTATATAGCCTATGTTACTTTCAGGCGATGTTGCAGTATATATGGAAATTTTCAGGAAAATCTATTCACCGGTTTTCGAGTCCATAAATTACAAACAAACAAACAAACAAACATACAAACATTTTCCTCTTTTATAGATATAGATTTGTGATGCGTATACGTGTGCATAACGTATTCGCCTGCCTTCAAGTTTGCAACAAGTGCCTTACAAAAATACAAATATATTCGAATTTGTTCAATCTTATTGAAAATTTAATTATTCCCAATTTGATTCGATATCCAAGGCTATATAATTAACATTCAGAACTGACTGATGTTATATTTTTTCTTTTTCGCATAATGGCAGCCTTAAAAAGTATGAATATATTTCGATATTGCTCTTGCTGTTGTATTTTTTGTTCGTTTTCTTGTGCCTCATATTTCTGCATTAATGTTGTGACCATCTGTTGGCCAATTGGGTTTGTTGGTTGCTTTGGTTGCAACATCCTTTGCATCCTGTACAACTGGGACTTAATTTATGGGCATGACATTTTTTCTCAGCCTCAAGCGTCTGATGTGCTGCAAACAAAGCAGGCTAGTTCTTCTGTCTTTTACGGTGCTCGTATTGGATTCTATGGAATTTTACTGGCATGTGACACAGTTGGCACGATGGTCAGAATAGTATCATGGTCGTCGGTCGGTGTGCCTTTGAATTTGTTTCTAATTCTTAGAATTGCATTGCATTCACTGCTTGTGGGTGTAAATGTAATTGCATGTTAATAAAGTTATTTGAAAAATAAAATACATAGAAAATTCAGTCATGTTCACACACTAACTGACTCAGTGACTGACAGACTGGCCCGGCAACGAAGCAGTGTTGCATTAATTATTCGAAAAAATAATGTGCAACATTATGTGCTTCACATATTGTGAATAGAATTTGTGGTAACGAGTTTTTGTTGTTGCTGGTTTTATTTTTTCATTATTTTCACAATCTTGTTTTGTGAAAATTATTACATTAGAACAACATGTTCGAAATAATAATGAAGTGAAAAATATGTGTTTTGGAATTTTAAATGAGATTTTACCACCGAACAAGTAATGTTCATTACATTGTGTAGTGTTAGTTGTCAGAGTCATTGGGTATGTTCCTGGCAAGAATATACATTTTTAATATTTCAGAACAGGCTTTATGTATATATAGACAAATATTTAAAAAAATAATTGTCGTTGTGGGATTCCAACCAAGGGCAGTATGGTTTCAGATGCAAAATCGGTGTCAAACGAAAATGGCCATTTATCATTTTCTTCACCATTTTCTTCTAGACTAAATTTAGTCTGATGTGCCAAAATTCAGATCATTTGGACTGATATTGGCTATTTGGTGCACAATTAAGCCTAAATTTGTTGAAGATATATATGGGAGCTGTATCCAAATCTGAACCGATCTTGACAAAATTGTATACACTTATTTCAGAGCTGTATTTGATATCTGGCTCCAAAGATTATTTTTGTGAAATGCATATTACGCTTGTGAGGGACTTTGAGCCCCAAATCGGATAAAACATATATATAGGAGCTTCACTGAAAACCGTTTATCTGAAAACCGCTTAACTGAAAACCGGTATATGGGGCCATACACAGATGTGGACCTGCATAAGTAATTTTTTGTGATAACAATCCGTGAAATATAAAATTTGTTTATATATGGAACCTACATATATAAAAAAATGTTATATTTACGTTTTTACGTTTTTTCTAAAGTCAGAAAAGAAATCTATTTCTCTTGGGGATGATCGAAAAATATTTAGAGTTAAAAAAAAAATAAAAATACCAATTTGGATGGTCATTGAAGGATGAAATAGACCATAACTTTTATAAAAAAGTATGAACATTTCCATTAAACTACCTGTTTAATTTAGATTGGTAATTATTTGTTTGTAACGTTAACAATGGGTTAACGCATAATTAATTTGTAAATGATTAACCTCGTTTAGATCTGTCAACATAAATGTAAACAGATCAACGAGTGGCGAATGGGGCCAAAGCCTCCACCTTCCTTCATGTTTTGATCGTTGGTTTCACACTCGTCTCTTCTATCTCTCGATACGAAGTCGCGCTCCCCCGCTATTGTGCAAATCAGGTAATCTGTCTTACCAATTATTATTATTATTATTATTATTAATAAATACGGCCTTTGCCATAATTCTTAAAACTAAAACCCCCCTATTGTGTTTTTATTTATTTATTGGTTTGAGCTTTGCATATTTCCCCGCATTGGCGCAAACATTGGTCCATTCGTACCGGATTACGAACGAGCTGTTGGTAAAAGAAGTAATCGTTTTCTTCTTTTTTCTTCTAATTGCAAAGCATATCATCATCATCACCATCTATACAGTCCACCACATCATCTCCTTAACATCATCATCGTGTTTCTATCAAAAACAATCAGGTACGTACAGTGAAAAGAGTGCCGGTGAATTTAAATAAATAATTTTCTTGAAGAGAAAAGAAAAAATAAACAAATTGTGTAAAAACAACAACAATCGCGTCGTTGATATTCCTTGTGGCCGTCTTACAACGCGTCGCTTACCCCGTCCCCTCCGTCTAGTTTGCAAATATTGTTTTGCCGACGGCAAATTGAAAATAAAGAAAAATCAAAATAATTGAAGAAAAGTGTATTTTTTAGAATTTCTGTTGAAAATAAAATATTGTTGTGCGGTGTCATTTTAATGTGCATCAAATTCACCATCGATTGGTATAATTGAAATTTTAAAATTGTTAAATTTTTTGCAAAATTGCATTTTTAATATTTAAAATATTTTTCACTAAATCAGCCCCCAAAAATACACTTACTTCAATTGCAGTTGGTTTTGTTGTAATTGTTGCGCGTTAATACGGTTCATATCGTTGCTTAGTCGGTCAGCCGCTTTACTCACATACGCATACATATATACGTTTGGTATTGTCTGTTGTGTTACAGGTGACCCTTGATAAACGCAACTTAACATATTTTACAGGTGAACCTCGATAAACTGAACCAACATAAAATATTAAAATTTTTCAAATTTTATTTTTGATTATTATTGAATGATAATTGGGTGTCAGAAAACGACGTTTTTGAAAAATTAATAACGCGTACACCCTACGATCGGTCAATACGACTTTTTTAAATAAAAAGTGTTAAAATTGATTTTTTTCGTTTGGAATTTCAAAATTTTAATTACTTTTGGAGATTTTAAATAAAATTTTTATTTTTTAAAATTTATTTTTTGAGAATACGCTACATTTGGTAGTTGGATTGCCTAAATAGTAGGTTAACTGTGGAAATAAAAATAATAAAATCTCAATATTTTCGGTAGAAAATAATAAAAATTTGAATATTTTGAATTGTTTGTGCGCGAAAATACGTTTTTTTTTTTGGAAAACTTACACAATTTAACAATTTTTTATTATATATTGATATTTCTTTGATATATATTTGATATTTTTATTATTTATTTGAACATTTTCACATATTTTTCATTGTATATTTGCATTTGGTTGCTAAATATCTCAGCGGAGATTACAATTTTGGTGATTTTAGACCGGTTTTTTGATATTTCACTATTGTGTGAGAGGTTCAAGGCATTTATTTCTCAAGAAAATTTCGATTTCTTTGGCCCTACAGTGCGGTTTTGTTAGATTTTCGGAAGCTTTTCGGTATTTTTCTTGAACTTTGGAAAAACTCGGTTGATTTTTTGAAACTTTTGGAGTTTTTGTATAAACTTTTGTGTTTTCTTCGTATATTGTGCGAAGAAGAATCAGTAATTCGTGGATTTTGTATAAATTATCTGAGCAATCGTGCTTTAGTCGTTCCCTTCTTGCTTTTTGTAGTACAGATTTCGGGAAATTTATTCACAATGTCATTCACCCCAATTGATATGTTCACTAGAACTTCGGATGCGGTCATCCAGTTTAATGCTCGTTTCAATACGATGCGTGATGACCAGCTCGATATTCATGCGCTACAGTCTCATCTTAGTGCATTAGAAAAACTTTGGACGCAAGCACAGGACAAATTTGAAAAGTGCTGTGATTATATGATGTCGTCAGTAGAGACGACGAAAGAAGTTATCGATGCGGTTGATCAGAAATACAATTCGTCATTTCAAATCTATGTCGACTGCCAGTCCGCAATTAATAGAAAGCTAGGGCAATTCAAAAAATATCGTACTTCCTCTATTAATGGTAGTCTTTGTGGTTCGGTTGCCTCGTTGATAGAAACGCCGGGCGAGACTTCAGCTAAGTCGCCCATACAAAACTCGCAAGCTACGGGCAACAATTTGAGTACTTCGACTCATGCTTCCCGCGAATCATTCGCAGATACAAACTCCGCTTTCCTCTATTGTGAGAAATAATAGTGCCAGTTTTAGAACTACAGAGGAAGTTTCTCATTTGGATTGTGTCCATAACCTTGCCCTACCGCCGTGCGATACGGACATATTTGAAGGTGATTTCCACTCATGGCCAACATTTAGGGATTTGTTTACGGCTATATATATTGTTAATGGTCGTCTTACCGACGTTGAAAAACTTTGTCATCTGGTTAGAAAGACTTCTGGTGAAGCTCGCGAGATTGTATCGAAGTTCCCCTTAATTAATCGTAGTTTCGAGCTCGCGTGGAAGGCTCTAGTTGAAACTTATGATAACCCTCGGCTTACTGGTTCATAACCAATTGAAAGTTTTGTTTGATATTCCGGTCCTCTATAGTGAGACTAGTTCGGGATTAAAGTCGATCCAACGTGGTATCAATGGATGCCTGTCTTCGATGTCCGTGTATGATGTCAATACGGAAAATTGGGATCCGATATTAGTATTTTTGTGTCTCCAGAGATTGCCAAAAATTACTCAGACTCTTTGGGAGCAGAGTGTTAAGGATAAATCTTCTCTTTCGTCCTGGAAGGACTTGGATGCCTTTCTCACTGAGCGCATACGTATGCTCATGTGCCTCCATGATATGCGTGCTACAGATCAGTCTAAGCGGTCAAATAATAGTAAAGTTCAAGCGCATCATTCAAATATCAGAATTCCAGAGCCACCGCGTTCTCCCCGCGCTTCGAAAGGTTCAAATTGTTTAATTTGTCAAAATCAACGTCATAAATTGTATGACTGTCCCCGCTTTAAGAGTTTCACACCCGCTGATCGATACAAAGTAATGAAACGTCATCATCTTTGTATCAACTGTCTTAGGAACGATCATGAAGTTAAGAATTGTGATAGCAAACGTCGGTGTTCGAAGTGTAACAAGTCCCACCATACGTTGTTGCATCGGGATGATATTACCTCTAGTAATTCAATCGAACTTCCACTGTTACTAGCAATGCCCCCAGAAATTCGAGTGCTACGCCTTCGACTGTCCCCCCTAATTCAGAAAATTGCGCGCCAGGCACATCCGCCGATTGCTTGCTCCGACAAGTATTTCACGCCGCGCAGAACAAGGCTGTACTCTTAGGTACCGCAATGGTGAATATTGTTCATCTAGGTGTTTCATTTCCTGCCAGGGCGTTAATAGATCCTGCTTCCGAGTCCTCTTTCATTTCAGAGAGACTCCAAACTCGTTTGAAGCTTCCTGCGCGTTCTACGAATGCTGTAATTTCGGGAGTTAGTTGTTCACTCTCGGCCACTGCTAATAAAGCTTGTCGTATACAAATTAGCAGTCCTTTCGACCCTTCGCTGAAATTGGAAACCAACGTTTTAGTTTTGCGTGCCATTTCTGGAAATCTTCCCTCGTTTGTGGTTAATTCCGACTTAAGGTCACAAATTCCCGATCTTCGCTTGGCAGATGTTAACCTTTTTGAATCTCGTCCCGTCGATCTGCTGTTAGGTGCTGATCTTTATCCAAAAATATTGTTAGATGGTTGTCGTCCCATTTTGTCTGGAGCATTGCTTGCTCAAAATACTGTATTTGGTTGGCTTGTTACGGGTCCTATCCCAGCCACACAAGTTCGAACATTTGCCACTACTGTCGATGTAGCAGAGGAAGACAAAATCCAGCAGACCCTTTTGCGATTCTGGGAAATCGAAGAGCCTCCTAAACGCAAAATATTATCTCCATCGGACCGTTTTTGTGAGGAGAATTACGCCGGACTACTCGTAGGGACTCAGAGGGTAGGTATATAGTTACGCTGCCACTTAAATCTGAGATTAGCGCTATCGGGTATTTGGGAGAGTCTCGAGCGAACGTCCTCAAACAATATTATCGGAATGAGAGTTCTCTATTGAAAAAGCCTGAATTAAAACTAGTTTACGACCAGGTATTATCGGAATATTTGGAACTTGACCACATGAGGCCGGTACCCGCAAATACTTCTATGGATGTCCTTTCGTGTTATCTACCACATCACCCCGTCATAAACCTAGCAAAACAGACCACGAAACTTAGAGTAGTGTTCAATGCCTCGAATAAAACGTCGAATGGGCAGAGTCTTAACGACATATTGCACGTAGGCCCAACTTTACAACAAGATTTAGTTCTTTTGATCCTCCGTTGGCGTATCTTCAAATTCGTGTTTAACTCGGACATTACTCAAATGTATAGGCAAGTTCGTGTAGATTCAAAGCATTCGCCCCTTCAGAGAATTTTGTATCGGAATTCAACAACAAAACAGGTCCTAGACTACGAACTACAGACAGTGACGTTCGGTGTAAATTGTGCACCATATTTAGCGATTAGAACGCTTCTTCAACTGGCCGATGATACTGAGTCAGAGTTTCCCCTCGCGGCGCATATATTGCGAAAATGTATGTACGTTGATGACGTTTTGGCAGGAGCTCACGACATCGAGACTGCATTGGCAGCTAGGGACCAGTTGATTAGGGCACTATCGTCGGCAAAGTTCGAGCTGCGAAAATGGACAGCGAATAATAGAGCTATTTTGGATTGCTTCCCCCCTGAGCATTTGGTAGATGCTCAGCTTTTATCGTTTGTAGAAGCTAGTAGTTCTAAACCCCTGGGTATTAGGTGGAATGCGCGTTTAGATTGTTTCTTCTTCGAAGTGAGTCCTATTGTCAATAAACACTTCACTAAAAGGGAAGTTCTTTCGGCAATCGCGAAATTGTTTGACCCTGTCGGTTGGTTGGCCCCTGTGATTGTTAGGGCGAAAATGATAATGCAGAAGATTTGGCTGGACAACATTGGTTGGGATGATCAACTTCTGGCAGCTACTGAGGCTGAATGGAGAAGTTTTGTCGAAACATATCCGCATGTTAACTCGATTAGGATACCTAGATGGGTTCAATATGTGCCAGGATTTTCTGTTGAGCTTCATGTCTTTTCCGATGCCTCGGAAAAGGCATACGCGGGGGTAGTATATATACGTGTCGAGTCCCCCGATGGAAAAATCTTCGTTAATTTGCTATCGTGCAAAACGAAAGTCGCCCCTTTGAAATCAATTTCGCTTCCTCGCTTGGAACTTTGTGGAGCAGTTTTAGCATCAGACCTATTGAAAGCTATTGTGCAGGAAATAGATCTGGAATTTAATCAAATTTATTGTTGGGCAGATTCGACTATAGTTCTTGCCTGATTGAAGAGAACCCCCTCTACTTGGACGACCTTTGTAGCCAATAGGGTGTGTCGAATCCAAGAAAATGTTGGCAATTATAATTGGTACCATGTTAAATCTGAAGATAACCCTGCTGATTTAGGAAGTCGAGGATTGTCTCCGATAGAATTGTCAGCCTCCCCCCTATGGTGGAACGGTCCTAGTTGGCTAGGTAAAACTAAATCGGAATGGTCTATTCGTGATCTGGCTCCGATTAGTACTGAAATGGAAATGCACCCCGTTAAATGTCACTTTGCTTTCTTTCCGTCGACATTTAAAGAGATTTTGGAAGACTTTTCTTGTTTGCGTAGAGCTCTTCACTTCATTGTATACGCGTTTCGATTTATTCGTCAAACACATCCCCGGTATAGAAACCATTACTACTATCCCACTAGACGCATTTCCTCGGCAGAGATTATTGACGCACGTAATTATTGTGCAATTACGGCTCACAAAATATATTTCGTCAGCGATTATAAGAATCTGTTAGGCGTTAGATAGTAAGAGTTTGTTGGCTCCTCTCAATCCTTTCCTAGATGACAATGGTGTCATGCGAATGAATGGTAGACTGGTAAATTCGCCCACACTTGCACCTTCGGAACGTAAGTCCTATAATTGTCCCCTATAGGAGTGCCTTTGCTCTACGGTTGGTAGAATATACCCACCAAAAATCTGTCCATGGTGATATCCAGTTAATGATGCGAACTTTGAGGTTGGAATATTGGATTCCGCGTATGAAAAGTTTGGTTCGGCTGGTCGTTCGTCGCTGTAAAGTGTGCCTTCTGTTGAAGAAACGTGCTTGCAGACAATTTATGGCTGCCCTTCCCCCTGAGAGAACAACTCTTAATCGACCTTTTACAAACACTGGTGTGGATTTCGCAGGTCCGTTTGATGTAAAATCGTATCTAGGTCGGTCTTGTAAAATAACAAAGGGCTATGTATGTGTCTTTGTATGTTTCTCTACAAAGGCAATTCATTTGGAAGCAGTGTCCGATTTGTCGACTGCTAATTTTTTGGCTGCGTTACATAGATTTATTGCTCGACGTGGTTGTCCCCATTCCATTTTTTCGGATAATGGAACAAATTTTGTTGGAGCATCGCGTGAACTTCAAAGAAATTTTAAAGATTTCCTCCAAAAAAGCGCTGACTCCGCCTCCTCGTCTTTATCAGACCAGGGACTATCATGGCATTTTATACCTGCCGGTGCCCCTCACATGGGAGGGTTATGGGAAGCTGGAGTCAAGAGCTTCAAGTTACATTTTCGGAAGCAATCTCGAAATTTAAAATTCACGTTTGAAGAATTAGCCACGGTATTGGCTAGGATCGAAGCTTGTCTTAATTCTCGGCCGTTGTGTCCAATGTCGGACAATCCAGGAGAAATCGTTGCATTGACGCCAGGTCACTTCTTGATTGGTGCCCCCTTGTTAGCCCCGCCTGAACCTCTCATCACAGAGCAACCATTAAGTCTAATTAATCGGTTTAGGAAAGTTCAGGCCCTTGCCCACCAGTTTAGTTTAAGGTGGAAAGATGAATATCTCAAGCAGTTGCATATGAGATATAAGTGGAAATTTCCCCAAAGAGATATGGCGATTGGCGATCTAGTCGTTGTTCGTCATGATCAGCTTCCCCCAACGTCGTGGAAATTAGGGCGTATAGAAAATGTTTTTCCGGGCACCGACGGTCATGTTAGAGTCGCGGACGTTCGAACGGAAAACGGCGTTGTAAGACGGCCCATTACAAAGTTGGTCGTTTTGACCGACCACACTCCCGCAAACGAATAATATTGTTCTCTTCTCATTATATAGTATGTCGGTGAAAATCTATTCGGAAGAAGAACTTTTGAATGTTGATGACGGTTTTGATTACTAATGAACCTCGGCCCACCGATCCCCAAGCTGGAATGTCGTCAGCTGCAGTGGAAGCAGCCCTTGTTGAGCCGATCGCGGCTGTAAAAATCTCAGAACGTGGGTCCGAATCCGATAAAGCGGATTCATCTGCGGCCCTCGCTGAACCGATGCAAACCGAGTCCGAATCCATAGCAACGGATTCATCTGCGGCTCCGGTTCTTGATTCACCCCCCAAAAATGATACATTACAAACCGAGTCCGGATCTTCGGGTCCATCTGCGGCTCCGGTTGCCACACCTCATTTGGAGGAGTCGGAAAAGAATTTAAGGTCCGAGACCCATAAGGTTTCATCTGCGGCCTCACATAAATGTCGCCTTTGTGATCGCATGCACCCGCTGGATAGATGTAGTGACTTCCGGGTTATGAATGTTGACATGCGACGTCGCATTGTCCTAAAATACAATGACTGCATACGGTGTTTATCTAAATCCCACCAAGCTAGGGACTGCCGAAGCAAAAGAAAATGTGCCGTATGCAATGAAGAACACCACACCCTCCTTCATGAAGATACGAAGACCGTGGTTAAACCCACTAATAATCGTCAGCGTCGTCCGCGGACCGAGTACAGGTATCGGTCACGTAACAGTCCGTATAGTCGTCCGTCTGATAACGCTCCCCCCTCGCAGATAGGATTGGTCGGCTTGTTGTCCCTCCAAACAGGTATCTGCCTATCCCCGACTTTGATAGTCAAAATTATGTCGTCCGATCGACCCACTATTGTGAGGGCGGTTTTGGACCCGTGTAGTAGGCAGAGTCAGATATGTTCCTCTTTGGTGCATAATCTTCGACTCCCTACTTCTAGAATCGAAGGTAGCCAAATATGTCGGCTGACCGTTAGTTCGATCTATGACCGGAGTCAGTCCATTTCAATTGTGGCTGTGGTAACCAAATTGGACCATGCGCTTACGCCTACAGCGGTTATCCCAGAGCGCATTCGTGACTCATTTTTAGGTCTTCCTTTGGCAGATCCCGATTTTAATAGGCCTGGTCGGGTGGCCTTGGTACTCGGGCCGGAAGTTTATGCCAGGGTCGTAACTCATCGGGTGCAAGCGACGCCAGGGTTGCCGATAGCCCACTACACCATATTTGGGTGGGTATTGTCGGGCATATGTAACATATAGTGTTACACAATGTTTTTTGAAAAAAAATTAATGAATTGAGAAATAAAAGAAAAAAATTGAATTAAATTGAAAATGAATTAGAAAAAAAAGTTGAAAAAATGTATTTATTATTGTATTTTAGTTACAACATCTCAATATGTTGCAAGGTGGGCGGCATGTTTAATTTAGATTGGTAATTATTGTTTGTAACGTTAACAATGGGTTAACGCATAATTAATTTGTAAATGATTAACCTCGTTTAGATCTGTCAACATAAATGTAAACAGATTTCAACGAGTGGCGAATGGCGCCAAAGCCTCCACCTTCCTTCATGTTTTGATCGTTGGTTTCACACTCGTCTCTTCTATCTCTCGATACGAAGTCGCGCTCCCCCGCTATTGTGCAAATCAGGTAATCTGTCTTACCAATTATTATTATTTATTATTATTATTAATAAATACGGCCTTTGCCATAATTCTTAAAACTAAAACCCCCCTATTGTGTTTTTATTCTATTTTGTTTGGTTGAGCTTTGCATCTTTCCCCGCATTGGCGCAAACACTACCAATATTTTTATTTCCAGCGAAATTACAAATACATAAAGTGGTAACTTCTGATGCAAATGATCAAGATATCGCTTATGTAGCAAAATATATACATATAGCCCGCTTCCAACCAAAGAACGGCTGGACGGATTTTGGCAAGTCTCACCAATTCAGAATTGCCTTTTTATATGTTTTTAAAAATGAAAATATTTTGCGGTAAAGAATTGCGATATTTTTGTAATATTTTTTATCGCGTGAGTTTTTTTTTTTTTTAATTTGACTTACAATATTAAATTGTACATTTTTAATATTTTTTTAACACTATGTGTTGGTTATTCAAGTCTCAGTTATAGTCCTATCTTCACGAAATTTTGCATAAGGGTGGGATTAGAATCGGAATAGAAACCAATCTTCGAAAATGTTCGACAAATACTAAGAGGTTAAAACTGACCAAAAACTTTGGATTTTGCAATCGCTCTACACTTCTCAACTTATGTCTAAGGACGTGTACTTTTTATGAGATTAGAGTTTAGAACACCCCTAAAGTATTTTGAATGGTCATCGGGTAATATTTTGCTGGTGAAATGGATAACAATTTTGTGTGAAAAAATACCAAAGTTAGCGAAATCACAAATTTAAATTTTTTCTTTACATATATGGCTATAATTTTTCACATATACGTGTTGAGAAGGAATGACAACAAAAGTGAGGTGTAAAGACTCTTACTTTGTCCAATTTTTTTTATAAATTTTGCAAATTACCTTTGTAAAAATGGCAAGAGTGTATAGCCTGTGGAGAATACCATACGTAATTTGTCTTTTGGCTGTATTTTATAACCGATTTAAATGGAATTTGATGTCTGGACCACTTGGGATATAGAAAACCTTAGTATGAAAATTTTTAAAAACTTTGGTTAAATCCCTGTGGACACAGAGGGTATTATTGTTTTAAAGACATTTTAGTGAAAGTGTACGACTACAATGCACAACTTATAGCAAATATTTAGTTATTTCAAAACAACACGAAAAAAGTTTTGGCTAGGTCTCCGAATCCAGCATTATTTTCATACCCTCCTCATGGTAAATTGGCCAATCGATTTGTAACAACTCCAAAAATTTACAAATCACCAACAGATACTCGCATAAAAAAATTAATATTCTGGCTGTTTCCACTAACAACGAGCGAGTATGAATTTTTCAAAAAGTATATCTCTTCTCACCCTTTTATATACTTAGTGACCCTCATTCCACATTTTAAAATTTTAGATTAACTCTTTAAATATTATTAGAACCTTGTAAGTACCCAAAATGCGAGCTTTGTGCATTTTGAAAAATATTGTCGGGCATTTGTATATAAATTGTATACAATTTTACCTTTACATCATAATAGATTTTACTTTTTAGAACTAAATTCCTAACACTTATTCCAAACGCTAAAAGTAAAGATTCCAAATATTTATTAAAATTTGGTTTTACATTTAGTATTCATATCCTACAACACTATGTGTTAATGTGCCAAAAATTATGTAACACCACGAAATATTCGTTTCCCACACAGGAAAGTAGGTCGCAGTTATGGCCCAATCTTCACGACCACTAATTTTATGTGAAAAAAATACCAGCATTAACTTACAGGCGATATCCGAAATACACAAAAGGCGAACTTCTGGCTTTTTACGTCACAAATGGAAACCACAGGATACGAAATCTCGCATAAAGTTAGAGTTTAGGACAGCGAGTAGAACGAACCACTAATTTTGTGTGAAAAAATACCAGCATTAACTTACAGGCGATATCCGAAATACACAAAAGGCCAACTTCTGGCTTTTTTACGCTGATTTCGTTGACGAATGTAGCAAAATATCGTGGACAAGCAAATCAACTAAATGAGTCTTAATTTGGAGATACAGAGGGGCTTCTGGCTTTTGGAGATGATTGCAAAATATTTAGGGGTTCAAATTAACCAAAACAGAAATGTTTTTCCGATCACACAATTGAAGCCAATAGACACGCCTGTGAGGAGAATTAAGGACAGGGAAGAATTCTAGCATTTTGGATCACCATTGGATTATATTTAGCAGTAAAATGGACCACAACAACTAACAGCCCGACGGAGTTCACAGCCCTAGTCAAAATCCTAATTACAAAAGTGAAATCTTCCAATATGGATTTGGACATAAGGGGGCCTCTAACATATTGTAGTGTTGTAGGGTATAAAATAGTCGGCCCCGCACGACTATAGATTTGCTTTTTTTTTTTTTTGTTACAAATTTACTTATATATTTCTGTTTATCAACCCTTTATGGTTTAAAAGTTCTAACTGCTTCATTCACCTTAAGTACATCCATATTTTAGAATTCTATATGTATATAGGGTTTTCACTTGAAATAATGAAATCAATTTTAAATACAAATTTCAAATAATATTGTATATTAGGATATACTAAATAAATCCGCCCACATTTTCAATATAATTAGCGATTTTCAATTTGTGCTTGTCAGTTTTCGATTTTACAGAACTTCTTTGGTGGCGAAAAATTGGCAAAATTGTTTAATACCAGGTATACTTCCAGTTTTCGAGTAATCCCATGATCTTTTGCAAATGAATGTAACATTTTCAATTTTCTACTAAGTACGTTTTCATGACATAGATTTAGCTTATAAGCTTTTCAATATCGAAAGATCATTGGATTTTTGTCATTGTTTTTGTTTAAATTATTGCCAAGAAATGCCATTGTAATCTTACAATATTCTCATGGATTTGTTCGTTCTCCCTTCGTTTTCAACATCTTTCTTAACGTAATACAGCATGGCATTGGCCCAACTTATTTTACTTCAATCTTTAGCCCACACCCTACTATTCAGGATCTCATTCCTTTTTGTTCTATATTCATTTTGTTTTCACCACTAACAATTGTTGGCTGTTCTTTTATATTATTTTATTATGTTTGTTTTTTTTTTTTTTTTTGTCTTTCCGAAATCATTTCATGTATCCGCCGGTTCTCTATACAACAACATTAACAACAAAAACGTTAACTCAGCGTTCATGGCGAAATTTACATTTTCTCCAGCAAGTCATTTCAATCAATATTTTGTTTGGTCCTTGCTCGTCGAGCTATTCACTTCTAGGAAAATATCATTTATTTGAAGTTAAGGGTCAATGGAAGGATAACACATTTTTCCTCGGTAGTTTTACTCTTTTAAATGGAACTGGACGAGAAAAAAACCTGCAGATGAAGGAAATAATGAAATTGAAATTGCATATTTCAAATTTTCATTGAATTCATGCGTGACTGTAATGAACATATTTGAAAATTTTATGGCGAACTGTATGTAGTGAACAGATGTAGAGGTTAACTATTAATTTTCACTATATGCTAGCAAAACTTTAAGGCGAACAAGTAAAAATGCATTTAATACACTTCACCATTTTTAAGGAATTTGAAAAATGTTCAAAAAATTCCGTCGAAAAATACAGCTCCAAGAAAAACCGTTACATGGGGGCTATAAGAAGACGAGATTCTGCCTATACAATTTAGTACTCAAAACAATTCCGGTAAAAACCGAATATAGAGGTGGTACCGTTATACGGGGCTACACGATGTCGTAGACGTATATAGAAAACATTTTTTCTGGGCGTAAGTTACTCCATTAAAAAATAGGGCTAAAATCATCAAAATACCGAATATCGGGGGTAAAGTTATAAGGGGCCGATACTATATCGTTAACTTTTATATAGAAAAATTCTTTTTCAGGGTGTAAAGTTCTCATTAGAAACTTCTTGTACATAATTTCAGACAATTCCATTGAAAAATGTGGCTATAATTATCAAAATACCGAATATGGGGGACGATACCGTGGACTGATATAGCCCATCTTTGAACTTGACCTGCCTGCAGACAAAGATCTGTGCAAAATTTTAGTTTCCTATCTTTATTCGTTTTGACTCTAGTTTGATTACAACAGCCGGACGGAAAGCTCTAAGTCGCCTTAGAATTTTACGCTGATCAAGAATATTTTATGATAAGTTACAAACGGAATGACGAACTTAATATACCCTCCATACTATGTATTGTGGTGGGTATAGAGGGTAACAAAAGTATATTTATTGATGTAAAGATAACAATTCTTTCGTTTGAATTCGGATTTAATATTATTGAACGTTTATTAAAAAAACACTAAGCGGTTAGGAAAGGTCAAAAATCGGGCGGGCCGACTAACTGATACCCTACACCACTATGAATATTTACCAGATCTAACAAATATACGTTTACGTTGGGAAATTGTGTAAAGTGAGCTTTCTACCGCAGTAAGTGAGTAAAGAAGCAATAAGTTCAGCCGGGCCGAACTTTAAATACCCTCCAACGTTTGGAACGAATTTGGAAACTAAAAAAAATAAAATAAAATTCGTTAAAAATTCTGTCAAATACCGCATATAGCCGTTATATTGTGGTCAATACGAAGTCGTGGACCTACATAGACAACTTTTATCATAAGC